CATGACTACAACATTATAGAGAAAAACAGCTTTGAAAGACTTAGAAGTGTGACCAACACAATGAGAAACCATGACTCCAAAAGAATAAAGATAAAACACACCACTCGCCTCCTCCCAAAGAGGTGACAAATTTAAAATGCAGAGAGAAACATACATTTTTGGACGTGGCTAATGTGGGAATTTGTTTTGTCGAACTATGTAGTTATATAGTGAGGGATTTGGTTTTTAGGGTTTTTAGAAGTATTTGCTCAAGAGGGTTAGTAGGAGAAATAGATTAGTTTTTTAAAATACTTGTTACTTTAAAAAGATTAAAATTATTTAAAAAACCAATATAAGCAAGCAAGTAGGTCCCTGCCTTCAAGGGGCTTACCTTAATGTTTAAAGCATAAATTTTTATTGATATTTTGATTTCAAATTGCCTAAATTTCCCTTTGCATCCCTTCCCTTGCTCCTTCCTAGAGAACCATTCCATATAACAAAGAATTCAAAAATAATAAGAGGAAAGAGAAAAATCTGCAAATTCAGCCAACACAGCAAAAAAAAAATCTGAAAATATATATACCTGTGAACCTCCCCCTCTGCAAAGGAGTGGAGGCAGGAAGATGTCTTTTCATATCTCTTTTTTTGGACCATGCTTGTTCTTTGTAATTTTGCAACATTAATTTTCCACTGTTTTGTGGTTGTTTTTCCACCATTTACAATGTTGTAGTCATTATGTATATTGTTTTCTGGGCTCTGATTACTTCATTTGGCATCACTTCACTTCTTTCCATGTGTCTTTGTATTTATCATTGTCATCATACAAAACATGACATTCAACTAGGTGATGCAGTGGATAGGGTTCTGAGCCTGGAATCATTAAGTCCTGAGTTCAAGTGTGGCCTCAGACACATTCTTATTGTGTAACCCTGGAAAAGTCACTTAATTTCTGTTTGTCTCAATTTTCTCAGATGTAAAATGGAGATAATAATAGCATCTACATCTCAGAATTGTTGCGAAGGTCAAATGAGATGATAGTTATAAAATGCTTTGTAAAACCTTAACGCAGGATGTAGCTATTCTTATGACCCACAATTTGTTTAGCCATTGTCCAATCAATGGCCTTCTACTTTGTTTACAATTCTTTGCTAACACCAAAAATGCTGCTGTAAATATTTTGGTGTATGTAGGACTTTGTTTTTATCAATGATCTTCCTAGGGGTATGTGGCTAATGGTGGAATCTCTGAGTCAAAAGGATATGGACTTTTTAGTCACTTTATTTGTATAATATTAAGTTGCTTTCCAAAATGATTGCTCTATTCAGATCACCAACAAAGCATTAGTTGTGCCTCTTACTCCACAACCTCTCCAACGTCGACTATTTTCATCTTTTGTCATCTTTGCCAATTTGCCAAGTATGAGGTGAAACCTCAGGGTTGTTTCAATTTGCATTTCTCTTATTATTTTAGTGATTTGGAAGATTCTTTCATATACTGTTAATAGTTATCTTATAGGATGTGTTTTACTAGAAGGGACCCTGTCTGTTGTGGTTCTTAGTGAGAGAGTCACTTCAGACATTTATTGAGTTATTGTTTAATCAAATAGAATATTATCAGCATAAGTTGTGCCCATTTCCCTCTTTGCTAATGTCACCTTTGTGCCTTGGTGAGGGGACTGCCCCCTTCTGGTTTTGCATCACACATGGAGGACTGCCCTTTATGCACTTAGATTGTAGCAATCCAAAGAAAGACTTAGGTCTTTCTGTGAATCCAAGGGGTAAATGAGAAAATTGATTCATTGAGGATTCCTATTCCAATCTATTCCAATCAGTATCAATCAATTTGATGTGATTCTATAGGGATAATGATTATAAGTTCTGTATATCTGACCCCAGAGCTGTGAGCTACAGATTGAAAATTCACTTGCTTAATCATAGGAAGTTAACTAGGGGCCCTCCACTCTTGTTTTTCATTGTCATGGGTGACCAAGCCCACTGTGATGGAGGTGACTTAATTGCACCGAAAGTCCCCCAATTTATTTTTGTACCTCTGGACCATTCTCTTATCCAACACAAGCAGGCGACCATCTTATGAACATCTTGTGACCACCTAGTCAGTGAAGATATTCCTTACTTTGCCCAACTTGTGACCTACTGACAGATCATTTTTGCTTATCTTAGCCTACACATCATATGTCAACCAATGGAATTATTCTGTATTCGGTATAGCTGTTCTTGAATGTCTAGATATCTAACCCCATAAAAATAGGGCCATGGAGGAAGGGGGCATCTCAGATTGTGAGGAAAATCTGAGGTCCACTTCATTAGAGGGGACCATGGACCCTTTAATAAAGGGCCATTGGCTCAGAGCTCTGCCTTAGTCTCTCTTATCGTAGGTCGAAAAATTTTTATCCCCACAATATCCTTTGTATATTTATTTGTTGGAGAATGGCTTTTAATAGTATATATTTCTGCCAACTATATATCTTGGGTACCAAACCCTTATTTGGAAAATTTGATACAAAGATTTCTTCTCATACAACTGCTTCTCTTCTAATAATGATGATGTTATAATAATATGAAAGATATTATTATTATTATTATTATTAATTATTATTATCAATATTATCTAGGATCAAGTGGCTCAAGAGCAAAGTCCAGTTATCCTGTGGCAAGGAGATAGAGATTAAGACCAGAGAGGAGATGAATGTTAGACATAGTCTTCTATATTTTCTCTGAAGGTGAAGGGTCTTCCTTCCCAGTGAGACTCTAGCCTTATCCTTCCCCCACCCCCAGCAAGAATCTTACCCAATAAGATCACCCAAATACCTGATGGTGGGGAATGGGGGAATCCCTATGTCTGAACTTTATCAGTAATGAACCTATGATACATTTATTTCTGAATTGCTGATCTCCAAGTTCCTATGGCAGGAATACAGGTCCTGGGATTGGTAGTCTTGGGTTTGAATCCTGGTTGCCACCGTTGTCAATTGTGTCACCTTGGGCAAGTCAATTAACTTCTCTGAGAACTTCTCTTTCATCCATAATATAGGGGTGACACCTGTATTCCTTATCTCAACAGTCATTATGAGAAAAGGCTTAGCAAGAGCAATTTAAAGGACTACCTATAGAAACATGAGCTATTATCATTACCTGAGACATTATCTAATCACACCAGGGTAGGTATGGTGGCTAGTGCTGGGGAGAGAGGGGGAGGGAAGAGAAGGAAAGTGAAAACAGAGGGAAAGGAAGATAAGAAGAGAGGATAAGTGTCCCTCTGCAGAGACAGACTGGTGTGATCCCATTTTAAATATAGGGAATGAAGAAGATGGAGGATCTAACCATGGGGGTGGGAGCTTTTAAGACTGGTGAAGATTTTTCAATCCCCTGACCCTAAAGTCTAAGTGCCACTGATGGAAGAGAATTAAAGAGGGGAGATTGAAGTTCTCAAAAAAGGGTGGGGGAATACAATGAGGCAGACCCAGAAATCTACTCCCAAAAGCACTTGTCTGTATCTGAAAGAGACTAACCTGGATTAGTGAAAGTTTGGCCTATTGGGAAATTCTTTAGGGCCCAGGCAGCCACAGGGAAAGGGATGATAGAAAAAAGGCTATGATTTCTACTCAGGCCCCACCCTACCCTAATATGTCCTTCAGGGCAGGCCCCATCTAGTTTCTATGCCTAGATTTCACCTGTGACCCAGTCCTTTGTAGCAAAGGCAAACAAAGGGCTAAGCCAGTGTTCTCTGGTGAGCTGGAATCTACAGTGGTATGAGAAAGTCAGGAGGAAGGGAGGAATGAAGGAAAAAAAAAGAGAGAGAGAGGGCGAGCCAGAGCTTTTTGGCTGTTTTTACTTTATCTCAGTGGCTGATGCCCACCCACCATTGTGGAGGAGTCCAGGAAGGAGCCAAAGAAGAAAAACACCTTTGCCTTAGAACATGCACCAGAGCCAAAGAGCTGGGAAAGGGCAAGACAGAATAGCTGGGGAGGCCTGGGGAGGGATGAAGACCAAGGAGCAGGGGCAGGAGCAGGTAGGAGGCCGTCCATGCTACTAAGTGACATCTTGTAATTTTGTTCCTTCCTTCTGGTGGGGGGGGGGGGGGGGGGGGGGGGGGGGGGGGACAGGGGGAGAAAGGGGGGGGGAGAAAGGGGGGGAGGGAGGAAGGGAGGGAGAAAAAGACAGAGAGAGCGCTGGAAGTAGATGGTAGGGACCTGTTTTGAGGGCCTGCTGGGTAAAGCAGCCAGCTGTGAAAACCTGCATCCCGCCCCTTCCAGCCCAGCACCGACCCTGATGACAGCTTTTGTCAGTAACTCAGAAGACATTTATTTTGGGGTACATCCAGTTGACTTTCATCAACTCAGGAGACTTGGCACCAATCATTTGGATAACAGACACAAAACTCTCCTTTCCTCAGTTTGCCTCAACCAGCAGTCTCTGACTGACTGGTCCTGTTTCACCTGAATACATCACCCAGGACAGTGAAGACCTGGGCACTGGAGGCTAAATGGTTTTGAATTTAGAATTTAGGGACATTCTCTTTTTTCTCTTGGGGGTAGGGTGTGGGTGGGAGAGGGTTTAATCCTCTCCGTTGTGTAGCCTCTGATCTGTCCCCAGTTAGCTTTAGCAGGATGGACTTTTGAATGATGATGTCCTATTTTGTGAAGAAGTGGACAGGAAGACTTTAACCCCCAAGTGCCTATTATTTAGGGGAAAGGTCTCTATCTGAGACCCTTTATCTCAGTGGCTAAGACTCTCGATTCTTCCGGACTCTCCTCACTCTGGGAAAGTCACTTTCAGGGTGGGGTATAGGGGAGCTCCTTGACGCAACCATAATCACGCTCCCTCTCTCCTCCAGCGTCCCGGGCCAAGCTCCCCAGGGACTGCTTTCGCAAGAAGTCTGAGAGGCAGGGGGGGAAGAACTCACTAGGGGGACGGGCGGGGTCCAGGGACGAGTGGGGGCGTTCCTACGGGTGCAAAGGGTGAAGAAGGGTTGGGGCGGTTCTGCGGCGGTCACACCCTCCACTGTCTCGGCGGGTGCTCAAGGCTCTGCTTGGCGCGACTCGGCTCCGCTCTGCGCCATGGATGCCCTGTGCAGCTCTGGGGAGCTCGCCTCCAAGTTCTGGGTAAGGCGCGGTAAGCGCAGTGCCACTGTCCGGCAGGCCGTGAGGCGCCGAGGAAGAGAGGAGTCCTTCCTGGGACAGGGGAAGGGCAGAGGCAGGGAAGAAGCCCCGGGGCAGGAAGGAAGGGCCTATTGCTTCCCGGGGAAATTACCTGGGAGGGGGAACGGTACATTTTCCAGTTAGGGGAGTTGGTGAGGGCTTCCCTGGCACAGGACTCAGTGTGAACACCCTGAATGCCCAACCTAAGGGGACAGACAGGACAGACAGTATGTCATTGTGAGCCCCCTTGAAAAGAGCCTGTGCTTGGGCCAGGGAGGATCTCGCAGGATGCTCACTGGTCACCGCCTGTACCCTAGACTCTCTCCGTGAGCGCCTCAGTCCCATTCAACACATAGATTTGATGGGTTGTTTTTTGTTGTTGTTGTTGTTTACGTTTGTTTTGGTTTTGCTTTGGTGTTTTTTTGGGGTTTTTTTTTTGAGAGCAATGAGGAGACGTGTGGAAAAGGGGAAGCTGGGAACTCCAGTCAGAGAACTTCACCAGTTCTTTATGAGGGAGGAGACCGAGCTGGAAGAAAAGTAGCAATAACTAGCGGTTTCCTTAAGGGAACCCTACCCCCAGCCCCTGCATGAACTTTGTGATTAAACTCCGATTTCAGAGACTTCTAGGATCTGGGAAGAAGAGAGTTCCCCCACATCCCATCCCGCAAATAGCACTTGGATATCTTGTTTCGCTAGGGACTTTTCAGATGTGGCTCTGTCTTACTAGCTGTCCCCACGACCTCCAGCCTCACCAAGTCCAGATGTAAGGAGAAGCCAGCTTAATTCAACACAGTTTCATTAAGCTTCTCTTAAGTGCTGGAGATGGGGATAGGGAGTGGACCTGCGATTTCATTGATTAGGGAACATAGGCTGAAATGCTTGGAAAGTTGCCTAGCAACTCGAGATAAAATGATTTGCCCAGGATCTCATAGGCAGGTGTCAGAGGAAGGACTAGAACAGGTCTTGTTGGTCCCAAGGCCAATTCCCTGTGTGGGTATGGGGTTACAAAGACCAAAAAAGGAAATGGGGTGGGGACTACTGGTTCTTATACTCTCCTGGGAGGATACAGCATACGCACAAATAATTAAATATAATTTAGAGAGAAAAAGTTGTGTTAGTAATTGAAGGCAATCAGGAAAGTCTTTTAGGAGGAGGTGGCATCTGATCTTTGAAGGATACTAGGAATTCTAAAAAGGAGAGAGAGCATTCCAGATCTAGGGCTAGGAGGAGCATAGTCAGCCAGCCCAATCCAGGGTTTTCCAGGACTTGGATGTAAGATGTGGATGGGAGGCAGCCAGGATGATTAATGACAATGAAGCAGATTTTCTTTCCTTGTGAGAAGGGGCAACTTCTTGCTTCTCTGAGACACTTGGTTGCTACCACTCAAAGAAGTCAAAAAGATGGTTGTGTCCCACCCCTACTCCAATTCCTTGTTCTATGTTTTCCCAAATAGGTCTCTTGGAGTGGGCTAGGCTTTCCTGTTCAGTAACAGTATTCATGAGGAGCTGATCTGAGTTAGCCTGTTGACCTCCCAGGTGTTTTCCTGGTAGACTAAGAGCTGAGCTGGAGAGGGGTGGGGAAGTGCCCAGTGTTTGGGCTGGCAGAGAGCCAGGTGCCAGGTGCTTACCCTGGCTGGTGTGGGGGTGGGGTGGACCTGGCCCTGGCTTTTCTCTGATTCCTATGGCTTCCCCTGCTCTAGATGAAAGTTTCATAAGGAAGTGGATTCTCTCTTTGTTATTAAATCCTAGCCTTGAAGTGTAAAACTCTAGTAACCAGAGACACTGTGACTAGTCACCCATTCACCTAATCTTGGATGGATCCCACTCAGGGCTGGTCACTCACCAGGGTCCAGAGGTTGGCATGTTGGGCTAATTAATATTAATTAGCTTCCTGTCACCCATTCTCTCATCCTCATGGGTCAGGCAGAGAATATGACCAGCGTTGCCTTTGTCTGAGAGATGCAAGGACAGACATTTAGGGAACTATGGCATAATAAAGAAAGCTCATATTTCCAGAGTTCTTTAACCCTTTCCTCACAACAGCCCTATGAGTTAGGGAGTGCAAGTGTCATTATCTTTGTTTTACAGATGAGGAAACCAAGCTTTGACATGGGTATGGTAATAGCACCTACCTCACAAAGTGGTTGTGAGAATCAAATTGCATAACATCGAAACTTTAAAGCACAATGTAAATGTTATTCTTATTACTATAAACTACCACCTTACAAAATGTGGGTGGAAATTTCTGCTGATCACTCAGGTGGCTCAGGTACCTCGGATAAGAAGCTAAACCCTTCAGGAAGGGAATGAATGTCCAAGGATGCTGAGGGCTGACTGATTGCAGAGAGACAGGAATTCCATCTTGCCCTGGATTCTAGGATCAATTGTCATAACTGGGCCGATCCTCTTTATCCTTGATATGCTTTGGACTTTGAGGACCTACAATTTCATGGCCGACACAGATGGCAGCTCCTCTATAATAAAATGGAGCAGGAGTTCTTAACCTGGGGTTCATTCACTTGTTTTTTAAAAACATTTTGACTACAGTATTCCAATATAATTGGTTACCTTTATAATCTTATGTATTTATTTAAAGTTTATTCTGAGAAAGGGTTCACAGGCTGCCAAAGGCATCCATGACACACACAAAAAGGTCAGGAACTCTTGAAACAGAGTCTTGGAAAGTTGCTATGGCAAAAAAAAAAAAAATCCATCACCTTTCAGGCAGCCTGGAGATGTGCCTCTTTGAATTTAATTATGCTTGTCTTTTAACAACAGGACCCTTATCTGATACTTTTTCAGTTTGATGAACCTGTAGCCAAAGCTGCCTTTGAGTACTCAAGTCACCTCCAAGCTGCAATGAGCCTTCAGTGGAGGTTACCTTTTTTTTACAGTGCTTAAATATTTTTAGCTCCTCCTGGAGTCCCAGTGCCAACTTCCCCTTTGTGTACCCACATGCAGATTTCCTTGATAACAGCTCTTGCTTTGTGAATTGAATGCTGGGCATTATATATTGTTTTTGCTTGGTGACTTGGGAGGTAGAGAAAGTTGTGGTTTAACAATTGAGGGTGATCTGAACATCTTCCAGCAACATTCCTTACTTTTCAGGTGAGGCCTAGAAAGAGAAGAAGAGTTTCACCAACTAACCTGGGGAGAGGGACAAATGTTTTCCAAACTTGACTGAGAACCCACTAGTTTTGGCCTTGACACCTCTAGCCCTGAACTTTTCCACAGGAAAAGATTCAAAACCTAGATAGACACTAACTCAAAGATTTGAGGTAGGAAGAAAGAAGAAAAAGATTGATTGAAGAAGACAAGATAAGGGAGAATGCTTCAGGGGTCTTATAATTCTGCTCTAGGTCACTCCTGCCTGTCAACCTCAAGAACTAAACTGACCTAATGAGGTGGCTGGTCTAAAAGAGATCCAGTCATCTTACCCTCTATGTCTTGTGGCCCAAGGACTAAAATGAATAGGATTTAGAAGATACGTGGAACAAGGGCTTTAGTCCTAGGGCCTTTGAGCTAGCTTATAGTGGGTAGACACAGACTTAGTTTGTCAGCTCATTTATGGATTTATGGGGGTGGAGTGAGGGCTGAGGGTAAGTATTAAAAAGAAAGGATGGAGGGTGGGACTCTTTTCTTTTCTAGAAAGTGACCCAATGAGGTCAACTTCCTCAATTACTTCTACATTCCATGTAGGGCTTGATGTAGAGATTCCACTGTAGGGGCGAGACCCCTGAAACTTTCCCTGGAGTCAGGACCATGGACAGAACCACACGCCCACCTGAACATCTCACCTGCTAATCTATCTTCTAGCCTGAAATTCTCAGTATAAGAGGCTTTTCTTGTAGACTACATCTTAACTTGCATTTTTGTTCTTGAACAGGTATCATAGGACGTAGAAGTGATTGACAAAGTCTCAGAATTGGAAGGCAAAATCCATCTAGTTCATACCTAAACTTGTACATGAGATGATTTATAAATAATAAAATCATAATAGCTAGCATGTATATAGCACTTTAAAGTTTGCAAAATTCTCTTCATATTTTATCCCATTTGATTCTCACAATAGCCCTGGGAGGTAGGTACTATTATTATTTCTATTTTACAGGTGTGGAAACTGAGGCTGAGAAAGCATAAGTGACTTACCCAGGGTCACACAGCTAGTATCTGAGGCAGGGCTCTATCCACCCTGCCACCCAGATGCCTCTATTTTATCTTATTCACCCATTGTCTTTTGACCCATCTAAGGGTACCAAAGGAATGAGCCATAGGATGAGTCCATTTTCTTGGGTTACTGTAAGGAAAGAAGTTCTCTTCACCATAGCATAGAGCACTGTTCCTTCTAGGGGAAGTCTGGGAGACCTATGCAGGCAACTGACAGCATATAATATACCTGGTATGGTGCCAAGGAGGAACTGGAGGACTATAAGGGTACTGAAGACCAACTGTGCCCAAGGTTAGGTCTACTGACATCTGAGCAGAGCTGAGTAAGCCAAACTCTGGGGAATTTATTAACTTGGATTGTTTAATGGCGTAGTTTATTGTCATTTCTCAAGGCGGAGCTTGTGGCTTTGGGAATGAGATCTAACACAAATAAATTTCTAAGCGTGAGGGACTGACCACACGATTCCTAAATGTGGATGTGTTTTTTGCAGGGAGAGTCTGAGTGTGCCAAAGGAAATGTGTGTCAAAAGGGTGTCACATATATTGCCAAGGGCCAACTTGGCCTCATAATGACAACCTCCAGCTCTTTATTGAATGCCCACTGTGTATAGTTATGTGACCATGGGCGAGTCATTTAACCTTCCCTGAACTTCAGTTTACTCATCCATAAAATAGACATAATAGTACTTGTGCTGCCTACCTTATAGGATTGTAGAAAAGCACTTTATCATCTTTAAAATACCATATGGCTGCTGAAGTCTTCCTCTTCCAATGCTCTAGAATAGCTTGTCGAGTGAC